CTTCTCTTTAGAGTTTCTTGGAGTCCTAGCCTTCTTCTCTAAAGTTTTCATTTTTTTTCTTCCTCTCTTCCATTGAAACACCACCCATCCATTTAAAGCTTTAGCTTGTTGAAGGAGAACCCATTGTTGAAGATTTGAGTGCTTCTTCAACCTCTAAAGTTTCTATTTTTCTGTTCTCAAAAGGATCTTAGGTAAATTTAACTACCCCTTTGTGAATCCTTAATATTGATATTAAACATTGTTATATGTTACTGTTATTTCTAGAATATCTGTGTGATATCTTGCTTTCGTTAAGTGGCCTTTCCTTTCGGTTTTTTTATATGTTTGGGCTTCATCAATTTGCGTGATTTTTAAGTGAAGATTCTGCACTTTCTTTGTAGCAAATTGAGTTCGGTCACTGTCTATCTATTCTATTTTGGTATTTGGTTTAAGTTGATATATATGTATATCAACGTTATTATAACCTTGAAGACCGAAGTGTTAAAAAGAAACGAATTTTAAAATGAAAAGCATGCTTACCTTATTGTTATATAAATACATTTAAGAACCCTCAGGGAGCCGTATGTAATTTCGTTCCACAGGGAGCCATGGTTTCGTTTATATATATATATATATATATATATATATATATATATATATATATATATATATATATATATATATATATATATATATATATATATATATATATATAAGACAACGCATACAATACATATAAAAGTCATTTGAATTGAAAAGCTTGAAAAGTTTGTAATATAGGGAAGCCTTCGTTGTTGGTTATATATATATATATATATATATATATATATATATATATATATATATATATTGTTACAGGGAGCCTTTAGTTGGAAGGTGTTATATATATATATATACATAATAAATAAATAAATATATTTTGTGGCTATATATATATATATATATATATATATATATATATATAAGATAATAATTATCTAAAATTAAATAAGTTAAATGATATATCTTAGAAAGGATCTCCGGTTTGAATTGAAAAAAAGAAAATAATATCTGATTGCCTTGAAATTTTAGAACATGTATATTAATATTATGATGGTCATTGAACCAGATCTGTGAGTGCATTGGATTCTAATTGTGGTGTGGACCCTTGTGATACCGAGTTCGAGTCGGAGGGGCATACGGGTACAGGTAAGCTTTCGTGTCCTCGGTTTAGCCATGTTATGGTTCCACCATGTCCCATGGGGGTATGGTTATATGCGTGCTGTGTTTTCATTCCTTTGATGTTTTGGAAAATGCTGTTGAGCTATCATATGTTAGTGCCTTATGGATATGCATGTGATGTTCCACCTATACGGTAAGCCTGAGTATGTGGTACATACAAGATGGTGAGGCTGTGGGTGAGGTGCAAGCGGTGTTCCTTGTACTCATGTGGGGTTAGACGTATTCCTGCATTTCTCTGGCCAGTAGATAGTGATAAACATACATGCCATAGATATCTGTTGCACTACATAGTTTTGGAACTGATAATGATATAAATGCTTTTAGAACTTATATTGCACATGTAAGTGAGCTTGGGGTGGAAGATCCTTGAGGACCCCCTGTCTTACTGAGATTTCTTGTTTAGAGATCTCACCCCACGTTTGGGGAATGCTTATTTCAGGGTCAGGTAATGTTGAGACCTCAGGCGGCAGGAGGCCGGAGCTGAGTTAGATTGCTGTTATATTATGCTGCCATGATTGGATGCTGGATTTGCATGTTGTTTATGCTTATAGCTTTAGTTATGTTTATGGAGTTTTACGTTGAGACTGGTTGCTTACTATGTTTATTTGGTGAGCATGGGGATTGTCCACGACACATAGTATTGTTATGTCTTGATTATGTCTTGAGTCTTTTGGAGTTGTAATAATGTATCAGGATATTGTCCGGATTACTTGATGTAATGCCGTGATTTAGATACACACTTTATCTATATATTGAGGTATTTCAGTAGATGTCTTATTGCAATTTACATACAGGCGATATTTTATGAAATTGATTAAGTAATCAAGTTGGTAATTGATAATGACGTCATAATTGAAAAGAAAAAGAATATTCCGCAATTTTTAATTAAGCACCGCTTAATACGATGTAATGTTAATATTCCGAGTATACACGGGGTGTTACACCTAGACATAGGCTTACATAAATTGCAGACTTATAATTCATTTGCTTAATGCTTGATTCAAGAGGAATTACTAGGACACTAGGATTCTAATTGGTTAAAGGGTTGAGATCACTAAGACATTAGGGTTCAATTATTTTATAAGAAAATAATGAATTGTCTGAGCAAACCAATTAGTTAATTATAAAATACAATATAGGAATATAAGGGAGGATCGGAGGCGAAGTGCATCCTGACTACAGTCTTTTTACAAATTTTTCATCAATATTTTCTTAACGTTCTTGATACTCTTGCATGCGTTCAAATTTAATTGTTTTTAAATTTTCTGTTTTTAATTGTTTTTAAATTCTGTTTTGAAATCCCAAAATCAATTACTGTCACAATACAAACAAATTTTCTTTTCCAACTTAAGGGGAATAGTTGAATTAATACTTGGTGCATTAATTCTCGAGGGAACGATATCTTACTTATCACTTCATTACTTGAAACAAACAGTATACTTGCCGATTTCGCAACAAGTTTTTAGCATCATTGTGCTTATGTTCACTCAACCATAACCTTCTTTTGTCACGCTCTTTCTTGATCTGTATGAAAAAAAGATCACATTTCCAGTGCCTAAATTTTTCATTTCAAACTACTTCGGCAGCAGTCCTTTGACAGTGTTGATCATCTTCAAACTATTCCTAACAAGTAGTATATATATCTTCAACATCAATGTTAGAATAACAAAGTCACCTTCTAACATTTTCACATAAACTCAATGATAAGCATCATATCAATCAAAGCCAAAATTCGTCACATAAGTGTCAAATTTTAGATACCACATCCTAGGGGACTACTTTAGGCCATATTGAGATATATTCAGCTTGCAGACTAGGTCCTCTTTACCTCTTACTACAAATTCCTCTGGTTGCTTCATGAAAATAATCTCCTCCAATTCACCATAAAAGAATACAGTCTTTACATCTGGCTGTTCTACCTCTAGATCATACGTAGTTGCCATAGATATTACATTTCTTGGGTCTTTTAGAATATGAGCCTCTAAAACTGCCATAACAGTTTCCTTTTAAGCTTTTAATAAAATAGATTAGGTAAGTTGTTTTGTAGAATTTCTCCAGCTTAATTTGTTTCCTTGATTTATGGCATTTGTTAGTGGAAGTAACGTGACTGTTGTTCTAGAATGCGAAGTTATGTACGCATTACTTGCAAGTAAAACACAATATACGTATTTTAAAAGAGGATATAAAAAATACCAAGGGATTGGTTCAAATGGTATATGTTTAATTCAATTTAAGTAAGATTTTGGGTTCAAGTTTTTTTTAAGGATACATGTAATTTATTAAAAGAAATTACAAAAATCTTTCTAGAATGGGAAGTTAAAACAGTCATGTTGAAAGTGTTCATCAACTGATCCAAACCGATTCAAGAGCGGCGTCTGAACCAAAAAAAAATGTTGTATTTTAATCGAATTAACCAAAAACTGAAAAAAAAATCGAAAAAAAATCGCATACTTTAATTGAATTGGAGCGATTTTTGATTTAGTTGGTGAAAACTGATCCAATGTATTATGTATTTATTATTTTGAAAGATGATAACTTAAAATCTTAGATGTTATTGATAACAAACTATTTTTTTATTGTCTATTAATCTATTTTAACTCTTCATGAGTTTTAAGACTTGTTTTATTTTAAAGACTTGAATTTTTCAGTGGTTTGCAACTTTGAATGGCTTTATATTGATATAGTTAATGATTTATATGGCTGAAATTTTAAACTTTTTGAAAAATAAAAAATTGATCCAGTCCAAATCAAATAAAATTAGATTGAATTAAATTAAATTTGAAAAAAAATCAAACCGAATAGATAATTAAATAATGTAACCGAAGGATTTAAATCGAACTATTTTTGCTTACCGATCCAATTCAAATCGTGTCATGTACCTGGATTTCTTCATAAAACTTCAACACCGTATGTCGGTTAGACAGCCGTTCGGCTTAGTGCTGACTAAAATTTCGAAATTGTAGTTTGAAATTTGTTACTTGATGAGTAATTAACTGATATATCTAATAACTAAAGGAACTATATACACTCATCATATTTGACATGTAAAAATAATTTTTTTACAAAAATGTATTTATATTCTGACTCATTATTGTCACATATAAGTATAGGACAGATTAATCTTACATCGCTAAGAACAAGAAGTCTTATATCAAATGTAATCATTAATTTACTTGCATTTAATAACTCATATATATTTAATAAATTAAGACTATTAGATACAAATATAATTAATTATTAAAATTGAGAATATAATTTATATCGATATAAAATAATGCTAATCCATTAAATATTAATTTAAACACTTATCCTAAGAAGCTCCTAGTTAGTTCATATAGTTTCTCTACAATAGCAATCAACCAAATTGAAAGAACTATTTCAGGCACCACGCAATAGAAAGAAACGCTAGAGAATTAGAGATAACCGAAACCGAACTATAGCTAGAGTTCACCATGCTATAAAGATCGTACGTGTCATCTGGAGAATTACAGCACCTGCGTGTCATCTTTCTCCTTAAGCCGCGTCTGTGTTGCACGTGTCAAAGCATGGCCGCTCCTACAGTCCTACGTACTGTTCTTTATTAACATGTTGTCATCATCTTGTTTTTCGTCTTATATTAATTACTATACGGATATGGATCACCCAGCATTAATTATTATATGTCACATTTTGCTCTCTATATAAAGGCCTCAAACATTTCTTCTTGTGACGTAGTTTTGAGCAAAGAACAAGTTAACATCACAAGTCAAGTCATTATCAATAAGATTTCATATCCATTCAAAGTTCCAAGTTTGTGAAACATGGCATCTGATCAACAAAAACGACAAGAACTTGACGAAAGGGCAAGGCATGGAGAAACTGTAGTTCCTGGTGGTACTGGTGGCAAGAGCCTTGAGGCTCAGGAACATCTTGCTGAAGGTTATTATATATATATACACATATATATATATATATTTATTTATTTATATATTTATTTATTTATTTATTTTTTTCCATGTATGTGTGTGTGAGTGATTGATGCAGTTATTTTTGTAGGAATCTTGTTTTCATGTCTTTTGTATCACATTAATCAAGTTATGTCTTTTTATAATACATCAATATACAATATTATTTAGTCTTCTCCCTTTTCTCCATTTTTTACATTAGTATATGGGAAAACTAATATTATGTTGTAGGAAATTTCTTAGTTCATCTCATAGAGACAAGAGATTGTGGGGTCCACTATTTTTAAAATAAAAGAAAAGTAAAAGAATTGATGGGCCCACTGTGTAAGAAGATTGCTTGTGTCATGTAAAAGGATGAAAACATTACCCTTAGTATATTGAGTTTCTTTTTTTTCCTCCCATTTTATAACACACTAGTATACAATATTAGTCAGACTTCTCATTTTTTCTCTATTTATGTCTAAATCTCTATAGTACTATTCTCCTTTTTTCTCAATTTTATAACACACTAGTATACTTTATATATGTCTCTTCCTCGTACCCTTTATTTTTCTCCATATATGTGTGCGTGACTGATTGACTGATTGATGCAGTTATTTTTGTAGGGTTTTTGTTTTCTTGTCTTCTGTATCACATTAATCAACTGATTGATGCAGTTATTTTTGTAGGGTTTTTGTTTTCTTGTCTTCTGTATCACATTAATCAAGTTACATCATTTTGTAAATACATCTATATACAATATTATTTAGTCTTACCCTTTTTTCTCCATTTTATAACACACTGATATACAATATCAATCGGTCTTCTCCTTTTTCTCTAGTATACAATATTATTCGGTCTTCTCCCTCTATATATAACACAGTATACTTTACAATATTGTCTTCTTCTTCTTTTTTCTCCCCATTTTATAACACCATTTTAACACACTAGTATACAATATTATTCGGTCTTCTCTCTTTTTTCTCTATTTTTGTCTAAATCTTTATTATTTCAACATCTCCGCTGATTTTTTTATTTTTTTTGGATTTGATTTGGTGATTGTGTATATATAAAGGAAGGAGCAAAGGAGGACACACAAGGAAGGAGCAGCTGGGGACAGAAGGGTACCAGGAGATGGGACGCAAAGGTGGGCTGAGCACTACGGACAAGTCAGGAGGAGAGCGAGCTGAAGAGGAAGGCATTGACATCGATGAATCCAAGTTCAGGACTAGGAACAAGTGATCATCTAATGTGTGTTTGTATGCTAGCTGCAATGTGTGTGTGTCAAGTGTTTTATGAAGTTACGAAACAATAGGTCATTATAGTGTTAGCCAGTGAATGTGTCGTGTGTGTTTTGGTTTGAATCTAATAATTAGCTAGCATATGTTAGTGAACTATGGTTAGTGTTTTGGGTTTGTGTGCGTGTGTGTATGGTGTCTTTTGGAAGTGACCTAGTGAGGCATGGCTTCTGGGAAGTGTTTACCTTTTTGGAGAGGTTGTGTCTCCATTTCCAAGTAATATATATATGTATGTAATGACAATGTCTACTATTAGAAATAATCATCATCTTATGTTAAATTCGATCGTGGCAGAAACGATGTATTTACGTGTTCCTGAACTTGTTATAATATCCTATTTAAGGTACAATCGTAACACCAATAAAAAAAAAATGTCTACTAAAAATTCATGCTGTGATCCTAATTCAAACTAATTAAGAAAGTGAAAGGTGGCTTGGGTAACAAACTGAGCGTCTCTCAAAACTAGTCATTTATTTTAAATAAAAATAAAATAATAAAATGAAGTTTAAGTGGAATGCACATCTCCTTGCATACCAAAAAGGATAGACCAGGCATGTTAGAAAATACTAAATGAAAAAATAATTAAATCGATATTTTGGAAACATAAAAATATTAAATATTTTTATAGTTATGAGGTATTATTATAAAGATATTAGGATTTAATTAGAATTATTCGTTATCATGTTTCATATAACGATAAAATTGTTATGAATCAACAAAATCACAAACTCTGTGAATCATTTCCTGAGGTGGAAATTTGTAAATAGCTGCATTTGACAGGGTTTTATTCAAAATATGAACCAGCTCCAGTTTTTTGTGCTGCCATTGAAGACCAGGATTATTGCATTATTTTATCCTTTTTATTTCATCAAAGTGAATTGTAGCAAATATTTATATTTTATTAATATGATTGTATTTGAATTGGACTTCACAAGGCAATAGAAAGCAAAAATGAAATTAGAGGGTAACTGTTATTAGAAAATTGACATATATTACATTCATTTCCGCCTCTCACGAGTTATATAACATCATACTAATTTACAAATCCCAAAATATGAAACATAAAAAATCCATCAAGCAACACAGCCCGTGGCAAGTTGTAAAGAATACGGGAACATGCAAATCAAGTTCTCATAAAACATGTACAAAAAAAAAAAAAAGTTCTCATAAAACCATTTTCTTGATCCATATTTACAACCATCATCAAAAGAAAACATACTAAAATGAAGTCATATCAAGCCATGACTTTCTCTGTTCTGCGCGCGCGCGCATATATATATATATATGTATGAGATAAACATTTCTACAGCAACTTTAGATAAGCTTATCTACATATGCTATTTTTAACTATATTCTCCAACTATATTCTTTCGGGAGAATAGAGTTATAACGTTAAAGTTGCTCTTTTCTCTCTTTTTATTTTTATATATATATATATATATATATATATATATATATATATATATATATATACCATGCCCATGATCTACTTTCAAAGAAGAGAAATAAAAAAGTGGGTGTATAATAATTTCTTTTGCATAAAATCCTCATCCAAGTGAAAAAACAAGTGGTCTGATTGGCACCATAGCAGCGACGTATGATAGAAGCTACTTAATCTTGAACCGGACACGCACTTCTCTTCAAACTAACCAAGAAAAAAAGAAAACTGAATACAAACCGAGTTTAAATAAGAATGATGCATTATAATATAATAATGCATGAAATTTTTAAGATACAGTGTGATATCTGAAATTGATGAGAGATACATGTCTGGGGAGCAATGTTCAAGCTTTTATGATGTAGAAACAGAAAGAATATTGTTCACCTAATATATCTGATTGAAGTGTGATGATGATTGAAACAACACGTATAAACTGATGTCCAACCAATGAACAACCTTTGTTTGTCAATGACCAGGCACTTGTGTAATGGCAATTCCTATATATTTGGAGGAGGCATACACAGTGAGAGAACTAATTTAGTAGTCAAGACTAAAAGAACACTTTAAAAAATCATATGGCAGATCTTTAATTAGGTGATCCCGCAACGGTGACTTCGAATATAAGATAATCATATTCTGTCATTTTTGTTGCCTGCAGAGGAGGAAGATGGAATTGGAATCGTACCCGTTTTAATCTCCATTGACCGTGAAAGGGATACTGTTGAACAAGTACGCGAATATGTCAATTGTGCTTCAGTTGTACTACTTGAATAACATCTTTATCTTCTTTCTTTTTGGATAAATAAGTAGGTGAATATGATCACCAAAAAAAAGAGTAAGTAACCAGTAATATATGATTTTTTTTTAATAAATAAATAAATAAATAACTGGCAGAAAACTAATAAGACCGGATTAAGCCGAAATAACTTGAATTTGATTTGGATCAATGGCAAAAAAATTAAAATAATGTAATTAATTAAAATAATTACGCATTTAATGCTGTTTTGTTAAAAATTACACATCTGTTGCACAATGAGACGCCCTCTTTGGGCGTCACATGTGACGCCCCAGTGAGGCGTCTCTCTCCTAGAGAAGACGCCCCAGTGGGGCGTCACATGTGACGCCCAAAGAGGGCGTCTCATGTGCAACCTATATATACCTCACTTTCTTTTTTTCACTCCTTACTCATTTACCTCTCCAACCTCTCTCTAACCGCGGTTCGTAGCGAAGCTCTGCCAACGTAGGTAAGGTCATAATACCTCATATGTATACATTTAAATTACAGTGGTAGTTAGTAATACATGTTAGGATTGATTGTATATTAGAGACTTGGAACATTAGGATAGTCACTTAGAAATTTTGTGTCATGCTATGAATGTTGTAATGATATAGTAATATTATTATTACGTAGTTATTATTATTACTGATTTTTAATTATGTATTAGGGTTTAGCATATTAATTAGTGATTTATAAATAGTGTTAGAGACTTTGTAAATTTCGTATGTATGATGTTATTAATGCGGGAGTGCATAACTTTGTAGTTAGTTAAGGATAATGGCTGAGTCATCATCTTCTTCGGGATCTGATTCGGATGTAGAGCCCACCGATCCCAGCATGTGGATCATACCTGGACCCTACAGGTGGGAGGTCCTTCGTCAGAGGACGCAGAAAGGTCATATTTCACAGCGTGTGTGGAATACTGAGCATGTAAGAAAGATTAAGACGAGGCGTGGGAAGCCACAAGGGGGCCCACCTACCGGTGCTATTCCACAGGTTGTGGAAGAGTACCTCAGACAGGCGGGTTTCATACATGTTGCCAGGATGCAACATATCCAGGTATGTTATTTATGTCGTTTTGTATTTATGTAATTAAATAATGTAATTCGTTAACACGTGATAACTGCGTAATTTATCACAGATAGATACATTTTTAATTAGTGCTCTGGTCGAGAGGTGGAGACCAGAGACACATACCTTTCACATGACCCAAGGTGAGATGACGATCACCTTACAAGATGTGGCAGGCATCTTGGGCTTGCCGACCGACGGTACTGTCGTCATCGGATCGACCTCTGAGGATTGGCACGCTGCTTGTGCTGGTGTTTTTGGACATGTTCCAGAGGCCGGTGAGTTCCATCATTCTGGCGACCTCCGCATCTCATTCTTGGATCGACATTATACCCGGTGGACTGATCATGAAGGGAATCATGCTGCCGAGATCTACTTCACAAAAGCTCACATTGCGCGGATGTTGGGGACTTGGTTGCTGGCGGACAAGTCTGGAGGTAGCAATTTTGGTTGTCGGCTTGTCCCGTTGCTAGGTGGAGGATTTGAGGACATTGGCCGATTCAGCTGGGGATCTGCAGTTTTGACACACTTGTTCAGGAATTTGTGTGAAGTGACAGATGCCCGTCGAAGCGACATGGGTGGTTGCCATATTCTCCTTCAAATTTGGGCATGGATACGATTCCCACCCATTGCTCCACCCCTTCCTCCTCATCCACAGCCGGGCACACATTATGGATGCCGGTATGATTTATTTACTTCATTTGATTTCGATAATGTATGGTTAATACTGTATGTACTAACTGTATACTTCTTGACTTTGGACGATTATGTATGGTTGATAATGTTTTTGATTGACAGGTTTAATGCTGTACAAAAGTTTAAACCTCATGAGGTCACCCATTATCGGGCAACATTGGACACACTCTGTAGAGATGAGGTTTGGTGTTAGATACTTACGGTGTTGTTATTTGTCTATGGGTTTATTTTTTTTTGTAACTCTATATATTGTTTCACATTTTGTTTGTAGGTGGTGTGGCAGCCGTATATAGAATATGAGTGGCTTGACGTGACTCCAGAGCAGCAGTATCTGTGGCTAGCTCCCACACCTATTATCTACTTCCACACAGTTGAGGCATGTCAACCGGATAGGTGCATGCGACAGTTTGGTCTTAATCAACCCATCCCGGAAAAATCTAGAAAATTGAGAGGAATACATGATCATACTCTACGGGGGAAGGTTGAAGAGAACTGGAGACGTAAGCTCAGGGCTCACATTGATCGATGGAATACTAGGATTCAGCATATTGTACTGCCACCTCCATTATATGGTTTGATGTCACCTAATCATGAGTACATGGAGTGGTTCAGAGAGAGGGGAAAGCGCTACATATCACGGAGGGCAGCAAAGATAGGGCGCATGGTGAGTTTTGTACTTATTTTACATTTGTTTCAAATTACAACTAACATTTTTTCGTAATATGCGGATTGACGGTCTTGAAATGCTGTATCATGCAACAACGGCGGAGGAGTTTCCTCGATTTGGACTACAGTATATCCACGAGGAGATAGGCCGAATTATTGGGATGTTTCGTGAGAGTTCACGAGTTGATGAGCCTGGACCTGAGGCACCCCCCGTGCAGACTCAGCCTGATCCTCAGTTGATCGTGGATGTTCCTCGTAATAGACGGGAGGGACGGGGATTAGGACGTACACG